ACACACACACACACACACACACACACACACACACACAAAACTAAAAACTTCAGTTTTTATTATTTCTTTGGCCAAGGTAAAGGTACAAGAAGCAATACTTGAGGATTATGAACAGAACTAAAATTTACATAGAAAATTTGTTTCTTTTAATATTGCTGAACTGCAGTCCATTTTACTATAAGTGAAAGGAAGGATTTTCTTTTCCATTCCTTTTTATCTCTTCTCTGAATAATTTTCAATGACTGTGGCCATTTCCATGAACCTCTGAGTCACTCAGGAATCATGTAGACAGTGCAGGGTATGATGAACCTCCTCTGATCTCAGGGCAGAGCCCTGCACACCTTTTACTTAAACGATGAATAATGGGAAGACTTCTATGTGTGAAAGGGCAGGCACATCCTTTTCAAAAGAAAACAGGAGTAGAACTGGACAAAATTATTACCATTTCAGTGCTCTAGAAATTGACTGAAGTCAGATAAATTGAGAAGCATTTATTCATGGAAACCTGCTGGAGCTTTGGATCAGACTCAGAAAGTATGTGACTTGGAGATGATCTTGCCCTTCCCATAGCCCTGGCCCAGGATTTTGGGTTTGTCTTTGTCCCTATTGTCCCATCGTAACAGGAATTAGACAGGAGTTAGGATTCTATTAGGGAGTAAGGACAGCAGCCCAAAAATGGAGTCAGGAAGCTCAGAATGGAGTCTGCTGAATTGTGACCCTGCATGGATCTTACAAAAACATATGCCAGTGTCCTTCCACTTGCCTGGGATCTCCACAGAGTATGATCAGGTAGGTCATTAGCTCAAGGGTACATAGCCCCTTCATGGACACTGCGTGAACACTGAACCCCCAAAATATGTATCTCCTAAAGGGTAGACATTATGTTGCTTACACAACAGTCTGAGCTCCCTTCTAAATCCCTTAAAAACTAGGTAAAGCGCCCTTGTGGATATCCTACTTAGAACTCCCTCACAGCTAGTGGGAGCTTTACTTCCTTGACTTTATACCTTTCACTTTCTTGCCTTTGTATCTTTTAAATAAAATTTCTTGCACCTTACCTCCTTCTCATGTTTTTACTCTTGTCACCATAAGACATAACCCCATGTTCTGATAACACCATGGCCATGAGGGCACCAACTGGATTAGAGAATGAGATGAAAACCCTGCGCTTTTCAAGCCAAAAATGGTGAATTCAATGGGAAATGCCTGGGAAATTCTGTGGTGTTGCTCAATGGAGCCTGCAGTTCAGTGAGGTGAGCAGCAGCCAGGCAGAAATTTCATTGTGTTGTCCTGGTTGTGAAGAGCTGCTGAAGAACCAGGCTATGACTAGGAGAAGTGCCATGAGCAGAGACAGGACAGCCTGATGCAGAGAACTGTGGAGAGATGGGCTGCTCTAAAACTGGGTCATGATGATAACTGCATGAGTGACCACTTGGCCTAAGGTTTTAGTGAAATAATTTGAGAGAGCACTGAATTATACACGTGCTTTTCTCTAGGGCACCAAGGGAAAGTAGATTGAACTATAAGATGTGCCTGACTGCACATCAGAACCATTCAGAGTCTTCTAACCCAAGCCCTCAGTCCCTGCTCAGGTTTCTGCCAAATATTTCAGGACAAAGCCATGCTCCAGCGTATCCCAGCATGCCACAGCATTTACAAACTGCAAACCACTAGATTCCATGCACTAGCCCATAATAAGGTCCCCTAGCATGGTGCAGAAGTATCCCAAGACAGAGTGGAGGCAGCAAAGAAGGAAGGCAAGAAACTCAGCAGAAAGCAGAGAGGTTAAAAAAAAAAAGTGGAGGATAGAACTTTCTGAGAAATGGCAGAGTAGTGAGGGACAACAACTCAGTTTCTCTGAGATTCAGAATCCAGACACTGGAAAGTAACAATTGGGGGAAAGAAAAGGGTTGGGGGGAGACAGGGAGACAGACAGAGACAGAGAGACAAGAGAGAGACAGATATAGGAATAAGAAAGGATCTGACAGGAAAATTAAACCCCACAGAGAAACTGAAGAAAAAAAAAACATGGAGAAGAGAAAGGACAGTCTTCACTTTCTCCATAGTGGTGCAGTACCTGGCAAACTTGAGGCCCTGAGTTGGGGGGGGAGGGCAGTATGAGGAGAGAAAAAGAATCAAACAAAAAATTCTGGAAAGACGAAAGAAACAATAAAAAATGCTGGAAAGACGAAAGAATCAAAAAATGCTGGAAAGACTTAGGGGGAAATGAACCCTTCTTCATTGTTGATGAGAGTGTGAACTGGTACAACCATTAGGGAAATAAGCATAGAGATTCCTCCAAAAAGTAAAATTAAAAATTCCATTTGACTCAGCTGTTTCCCTTCCAAGTATTTTCCCAAAAGAATTAAAGCCATCATATTACAGATACACCCCTATCCATATTTATAGCAGCACAATTCATAACAGCAAAATCTTGGAAGCAGCCTACATGTCCATCAACAGATGAATGGAGAAAGAAAATGTGGTATTTACATATTATGGAATACTACTCTGCCATAAAGAAAGATAAACGAGTTATTTGTAGGAAAATGGATGCACCTTGAGACCATAATGTTAAGTTGAAGAAGTCAGACACGTAAGTTTAAATATCACATGGTTTC